AAAGAAGGGGAGAGAAAAAAAGAAAAGAAAAAAAATACAAACACAAAACCCCCACGCTCCCCATCTCTCCCTCCTGCACCCCCCTGTGGGTTAGTGGAAGGGTGTAGGTGGGTGGGCATGGAAGGAGGGGGAAGTGCTATGGGGAGGTCCTTTGGGGTGGGAGCTGGTTGGTTTCTGTAGAGTCTATGGTGCTAGTGCTGTTCTGGTTAGCCATCTTGTGGAAGGATTTGGAGGTGTCATGTCATGTTTTACTGAGAGGGTAATGGATGCATGGAATAGCCTTCCAGCTGAAGTGGTAGAGGTTAACACAGTAAAGGAGTTTAAGCATGCGTGGGATAGGCATAAGGCTATCCTAACTATAAGATAAGGCTAGGGACTAATGAAAGTATTTAGAAAATTGGGCAGACTAGATGGGCCGAATGGTTCTTATCTGCCGTCACATTCTATGTTTCTATGTTTCTATGTTTCTATGTTTCTATGTTTCTATGGATCAGAGCAGATAGTTTGTCCATTTCGATTGTTTCGTCTATTTTCCGTAGTACTTCCGTTGGGGTGGGGGTAGTGTTGCTGCCCCAGTGCCTGGCTATTGTTCTCCGAAGGCCAGCGCCACTCGGGCTGTGAGTTTATTTTGGGCCCTTGTTAAGGATTCGTGTGGTTTTGAGAGGAGCCAGATCCACGGATCCACTGGGAGGTCACTGTGTAGAGTCCTGTTGACTGTTTGGACCATTTCACGCCAGAGTGGGGTAATGTGCGGGCATTCCCACCATAGGTGGATGTACGTGCCCTGTGCTCCGCATCCCTTCCAGCATCGGTCAGAGGTGGAGAAGCGCATTTGTTTTAGTCTCAGGGGGGTGATATACCATCGGAAAATGGTCTTGTAGGCCTGTTCCTTATGTGTGATGCAAATGGAGAGTGATGCTGTGGCTTCCCAGATATCCCTCCAGTCGGAGGGGTCCTCCGGGGGGCCTATGTCCTTCTCCCAGGTTCCGGTGTAGGATAGGGCTTCAGGGGTACTGGTGTGGTGTAGATTGCCTTATATAGTAGAGATTTGGCCTTTCTGTACGGGGGTGTGTAAGCACATCTTCTCGAAGGTCGTGAGTGGGGTGGTGGCAATGGTTTGATTGGGTGGGTGGGACAGAAAGTTTCTGATTTGTAGGAAGCGGAAATGGTCGAATGGTGTAAGTGGGGTGTTGTGTGGGAGTTCCGTGAAGGGAATTAATTGTTGTCCCCGGAAGAAGTGGCATATTCTAATTAGATTGTTGTCTTCGAATCTTTCGAAGTGTTTGGGGGTCATGCCTGGTTGCAATTGTGTATTCCTTAGTATCGGTGTTAGTGGGGACAGAGAGTTGATGAGTTCGTGTTTGCGAGGGACTCGGTCCCACAGTTGTATGGAGTGCGTTAGTGCTGGGGTCGTGTGGGGGGTGAGTGGTCTGCTCTGCTTGGGTAGCCATAGGTATAAAGAAAATCTCGGCCAAATAGATCATGTTCCAGGTCTACCCATAGTTTGAGTACTGCTGGGGTGTGGAAATTTTGAATTTGGGCTAGCTGGGCCGCCTGATGGTAGTCCCAAAATTTGGGGAGTCCCAGCCCTCCCCTCTTGTGTGGTACGTACAGTGTTGTCCGTTTTATTCTGGCTTTTTTCCCTGCCCATATGAACTTTTCTACTTGGGACTGTAATAACTTGAAGTCTGTCTTGGATATGGGGATGGGTAGGGCCTGGAAGAGATAGAGAGATCGCGGGAGCAAGTTCATCTTAATTGATGCCAGGTGTCCCAGCCAGGATATAGATAGGTGTTGTCAGTTCTCCAGATCCTGGTGGCTTTGTGTAGTAGTGGGAGGTAATTGAGTTGGTATGTGTGTTGCAATTCTGCTGGTAGGTGTGTACCAAGGTAGCTTATGCTCTTTGGTTCATATCAGGAGGGGTTTTCCCATTTAAGCGCCTCTAGTGTTTCGGCGGGGGTGTTTGGGACGGCTTCTGTTTTACCGAGGTTTAGTTTGTAGCCTGATATTTGGGCGTATTCATCTAGGAGAGCTAGTGGGGGGTAGGGAATGCATGGGGTCTGTCAGTGTTAACAGGAGGTCATCTGTGTAGGCTGCTATCTTATATTCTTCGGTGCGGATTTTGAGGCCCGTTATGGTTTTGGTCTGGCGGATCTTCTGGAGGAGGGGTTCCAGGGACAGGGCGAAAAGGAGGGGGGAAAGAAGGCAGCCTTGTCACATTCCGTTATGTATCGTGAAGGAGGGGGGCTGAGCGTTTGGGATTATAAGGTTTGTCGTGGGGCGAGTGTATAGTCCTCTGATTGTTTCTGTGAAGGTCGCTGCGAAGCCCATTTTGTTGAGGGTAGCGAACAAAAAGGGCCAGAGAATGCGATCAACCACCTTCTCGGCATCTAGGGATAGGAGAAGGGTGGGGTATGGTCGTTGGTTGGCGTCCAGATTAGGTCGAATGTTCTTCTGGTGCCTGTTGGGGAGTTTGCCAGGTGGCATTCCCGGTAATGTCTACTCCGGAGGGGGAGTGCTCTGGACTGTTCATAGTGGGTTTCCTGTAGTAGGATGACGTCGGCTGCGGAGCGGTTGGCCCACCGAAGCAGACGGTGTCTTTTAGCTGTGTTGTTTAGGCCTTTGCAGTTGATGGAAAGGCATGTGAGGCTTACGGGTTTAGGCCCAGTTGTGCCTCTGGATCTCAAAGAGGATACTTGCGGGGGGTGGCGGGGTATGTTTAGGAGGTTCCGAGGCAAGAGGAGAGAGGGAGAGGGAAAGAGAGAGTAAAGAGAAAGAGAGAAGGGAAGAGAAGAGAAAAAAAAAGAAAAAAGGGGCACCAATAGGGGGGTAAATCCGTGTGGGGGGGGTGAGGGTTTTGGCAGTAAGAGTAGAGGAGTTGTGTGAGCGTCTGTATCCAAAGAGAGGGGTGGCAGTGGTTCGGGTGTATAACCTGGTCTTATGTCTGTGTTGCCAGGTCTTCCTGGGGGTGGCTTGTGGTCGGTTGTGTCTTTATCTGTCCTGCTCGGACATCAGTCCAGTGGGTGCAGGGGGTGAGGAGGTGGTCGTCCATGTGTGGCAACGTCTCCCTCTTCCCTGGGGTTTTGCCAATCATTGTGTACACGAGTTGTGTGTTTGTTGGTAGAGAACAGTCAGCAGGGGCCAGTGGGGGTTGTGCGCTGTCCCTTTGTGGGTCTTTGTAAGCGGTGTTGTTCATAATGTGCCGGGTGTGGTGGTGGCGATCCTGGAATTGGCGATAAATTTAAGAACTGTGATAACCATAAACATGTGAACATTTCCGAACTGAGACCAAAGATAAGTCTAAACTTTGTGAGACCTAGTAAAGTGGTATATGCTCTGTCTCATGTTGAGGTATAGCTATAGCTTAAGCGTTTTGGGGTCCCCTCTTGTAATTTGTGGGATGGGGGGTTAAGTGGAGGAGGAGGCGGTGGTGCCGACAGGGTTTTTGAGCCCCGGTTGCAGTAGAGGTAATGGCTCTCCCTCAGGCGGGGGCGTGTGTGGTTGCTCTTGCTAAGGTGCGTTGCTGTGGTGGAGGGGGCTCACTGGGCTATTTAACGTATGTGTTGGTTATCGTACCTGCGTCTCCGTGTCTAGGGTTCGAGTGGAGTATGTTCTTATTGCTTGGTGTCTGTGGTGGTCTGGCTGGAAGCCCAGGGGTTCACAGGTATGTGGTGTGTAGAGGTTGATTCTTGGGGGGCGGGGCCTCGTATTTCATTTCACCTTGTGCACCTCAATTCTGCAATCTAAGAGATCCTGACATGGTCCTCTCTGAAGCTGTGAAACTGTGACACCTTACATTCTTTGAAATACATTTAAGCATCATAATACCTTGTAACACCTTGGCATACATTGACATACATTGGGAGCCCATCGAGAATCCATCCACATCTCCCTCAACTCCAGGTTCGTTCCCCCCCCCCCGACTCCCCCTCGATGGCAGTGGGATATTTAGCAACATATCGTTCCCCTGAGGGGCTCGGGTTAGCCGCTCATTAGCGCATGCTCAGTCTGGGGGTGAATGTGGGCATGTGGGATGGTTGGGTGGCCTATGGGCCCTCTTGTATTGTGACGGGAGTTGTGAATAAAAGTTTACTTGTACTTTTTGGGCCGATTTGTGAGATAGCAGCTAGGCATGTGGGTGATTCAGGGCTCATCCCCTGGGTGTCTCTCCTCTGGGTCTGGCTCGTAGGATGGGGGGTGCGGTGCGGGGCAGGGGGTTAATGGGGGGGTCATTTGCGATCAATGGTAGTCTTGGTGGGGGACAGCTTATAGAGGGGGAGTAGGTCCAGGAGCCCCAGTGCCCTCCCAGCTCCCACCCATCCCGATAACTTCTATACAGTGAGAATATGGGGACGTGCAACCCAGTACCTTGTTATATCATGCAATAAATTGGCTTTGAGTTTAATCCGTGGTACATCAGAGTCTGTGTCCTTACTTTACTTGTTTCACCGGTGCAGAGAGGCCTCCGGTTATAGCTCCCCGGCGGGCATGTAGGGTGCCCTGTGGGCCGTTGTGTGAGAGTCTCAGCCTGATGGAGCGTTCCGGTCTCCCGCAATAGTGAGTGGGTGGGAGCCGTGCAGGGCACCGTGTTGGGGGGCACTTGCAGGGTGCAGCCTGGATTCGGTGGTACAGGAGTCTATCGTTGGGTGAGTATCTGTGGGGGGGCGGGGGTAAAGGTAAGCAAGAGGGGGGTAATTTGCCATTTTCAGTAGGGCTACGTTGTCTGGCATGGTCGTTCGTTCAGCTCCTCTTGTGCAATTTAGTCCCGGTCTTCAGGACGTGCAGAGACCCTCTTGCGTGGCGTTCGGCGGGGGAGTCTGAAGGCCTCTCCCTTTGCGGTCGCGGTCTGCCGTACGTGCCCTGTGTTGCGGTTTGTTGGCGTGGTAGCAAGGTAAGTCCCAGTGATTCAGCGAACGGAAACATCTCGGTTGCGCTTTTATAGATATGGGTCTGGTTATCCTTTCTCACGATCAATTTAAAAGGATGACCCCACATGTATCTCACTGTTCAGAGGCGTCAGGTATGATCGTCTGAAAGAGGCCAGTAAGAGTGGCGGGAAGGTCGTCGGGCATGACAGCTTCGGGTAGGCCCCGGATCCTAATATTATTCTGCCGGGACCTGTTGTTCAAGTCCTCCAGGCTTTCCTCCAGCTCTTCAATTTTCGCGTGGAGGTAGGCAATGTCCTGTGAGTGAGCTTGGGATGTAGTAGATAGGCTTGTAATGCGCGTTTCAGCTTGGTCCGATCTGTGTGCCAAGGCCTCGATGTCTTCCCGTAGGCCTGTGAGCCTCTTGTCCAGTTCCGATGCCACATGGGATTTTATGTCCATGGTGGCTTCTTTAAGCATGCTTTTCATGTGCTGTAAGGTGAGAGGGGCATCTGGTGCAGTGGTGTGTTAGTTTCCCTCGAGGTCTGAGCTTGTTTCCTCCATGCTTTGGCGGGAAGATGACCGGCCTGGTTCTTGCTGAGGGCGGAACATCGTGGCGACCGATGGGGTTTGTCTTTTTTCTGTTTTCCGCCTCCCATCGTGGTATTTTGTGCTGAGTGGGTGATGTTGGTTCTCGTGTTCTCTGTGGTAGTTTGATTGCTCATGTGTGCGGATGTTTGCAGATTGAATTTGCTGGGAAGAGGGAGCTATAGAATTAAGCTGCCATCTTCCTCAACGGTCAGGCCAAGCCCCCCCTATTGTGATTTTTTAAAACCTTTTTTTACATTTTTTCAAATTGATTTGGACATTTTGAAAAACTGTTCCTTGGATGTCAAGGCCTTTGAAATATTCCGGAATTTGCTAACTTGGGCCAAGTCATTTGATATCACCTTAACATGCATGATTATGAATAAATGCACGTTATCTAAGAAATGCAAGTTCCTGAATCATGAAAACGCATAGTTCAAAGAAACAATCTTACTGAAGATAACTGGATAAGATGTATGGGAAAATAAACTTTTTAATCAGTAAGATACGGGAAAAGGTCAAGACAGGCAGTAAGTGTCAATGCTAATCAATGGTCCCAGATTCGATGCAATGGCATAGAAAAAGTGAAAAGTTAAGCATGAAATGTTGAGTAATTGGATTATAAACAGAGCTCAGTAGCAACTGAGTAATGAAAAGACTCTGTGAAAACTAGACATAATGAACAGATGAAAATGAAATGGATTATTTTTAACTGTGTAAAACCATATCGAAGTTCTTATCATTGGCCCATTTGGATGTACCAAGGAACAATATACACTGATGAGCCACAATATTAAAACCACTGACAGGTGAAGTGAATAATATTGCTTATTTTGTTACAATGGCACTTGTGAAGGGGTGGGATATATCCGGCAGCATGTGAACAGTGAGTTATTGAATGTCATGTGTAGGAAGCAGGATAAATGGACAAGCAAACCTACCTCAGTGACTTTGACAAGGGACAAACTGTAATGGTTAGATTTTTGGGTCAGAGCATTTCTAAAACAGCAAGTCTTGTGGGTTGTTCCCGGTATGCAGTGGTTACTACCTACCAATAGTGGTACAAGGAAGGACAACCAGTGAACTGATGTGAATATAATGTGTGCTCAAGGCTCATTGATGTGCGTGTGGACCAAAGTCTAGATCGTCTGATCCGATCACACAGAAACACTACTGTAGCTCAAATTGCTGAAAAGTGTAATTCTGGCCATGATAGAAAGGTGTCAGAACACACAGTGCATAACATTTTGCTGCACATGGGACTGCATAGCTAGAGACTGGTTAGAGCACCTATGGTGACCCCTCTTAGTAATGTGACTGTCAATAGTATAAGGAATGGAGCATGCATTGGTCCCAAACAGAGGGTAAATAATAAAAAGTAAAAATGATTAATAATTAAAAAACTATCTACAAATACCAGAGCAAAGGAGAGTGTGGTCCATAAGTAACACCTCTTGTAGGGCTTAGAAGTAAATGATGCCTACATTCCATGTCTGTGTGATAGGTCATAATACCACAAACCATCTGAGGAGTGGGGGAGGGGGGTAGAACTAGATGTTATGGGTAACAAGCACATAAGACATATTGAAAAAGAAATAGGACAACTGACAAGGGCTCAACCAATCCTAAGTAGGAAAACAGAGTTATAATTACTATGTTTGCATGTAGGTGGTGATCATTCATTGAGAAAAGCTGATTGTATTGATATATATAAATAGTTTTTTGTTTGTTGTTTTCCTCTTTTTTTTAACAGAATGTGTCTTTTAACAGTAAGTAGTATAAAAACTTACATCAATATCAACTAAGAAAATATAGTATTTTTTCTCACCAATTGAACCAAGTCCCAAAGGTGACTACTAAGTGTGGAGTGTGTCTCTCATAGAGAGTCCTGGAATCCCCCATTGTTTCAGGTGCTGAGAGGTACTTGGTGCCATGTTTTGGAAACCTTGGAAGGTGATTCCTTCTTAGCAGGTCAGGTAAGTTAAATAAATGAATGAGGGATATTCCACAGAGTCAGCAGTCTTACGTCTTCTTTGGGGACAAGGATTGCTTTCTCCACTCTATTACACCAGATCAACCGATTAATCAAGAATCATTTAGATGATCTGTGTGCCTCTCAGTCTCAGGGGTCTTGGTATGGATGCAAAGGCCATTTTTCTTGGGCTAAAGGGGAAGATACTAAATCTATAAACAGCTACCTATGAGGATACTTAGAGCAGAAAGCTTCATTTGACCTAACTACCTGCATAGATTTTTTTCTTTGGTGCCATCGAAAATGCAATTGATAAATGTGTCACAAAGTAATGCAGTGTGGTAGGTGTTTTAAGTTTGCAAGCCTGGTCGGAGGCCTTGGGTAGTAGAGAGAAATATGCACTTTTATGAAATAACATTGCTATACCTCTATAGCTGTCAATCAGGCAACCAGTCCAGTTATTTCCAGGTAGTTTAAGCTCAAGAGGCAGTAATTGCTCAGAGCACCTGTCTTGCAAAGACTTCTCATTGATCTGCACTGGAAAGTCTATGATTGGACAGCTACAGAAAGTCTGGGCTGGGGAAGAATGAGAGGGCTTGCAAAGGCATACATGTCTTTATCTGGAGTATATCTACTAAACAGTGTTTGTTTAAAAAAAAAAAAAAAGCTAAATACTAAAGGATTACTCCAAGCACCATGACCACTTCAGTGTTTTTCATGGTGCCTGAAGCCTGTATGTGCAGCACTTCAGCTTAAAATACTGCAAATACAGAGATATTATTATTATAATTATTATTATTATTATTATTTAGAAAGTGCCAACAAATTCCACAGCACTGTACATTAGATGGACTTACAGACAAATATTTGCAACAAGATGAGCTGGAGCAACAAGAACAGATGGTATTGAGGGCCCTGCTCTAACGAGATTACAATTTAAAGGGAGTGTGATAAAGTGATATAAGAGGTAAGGGTAGGATGTATTTCATGTGCGGCAAAAGTAGGTTACTAGCAAAGTTTACAAAGAAAGCTTAGTTCTTGGATGACACAGTTGCAGGAGAGGAAGCATGGTGGGCTACCAAGGTATGGGGATGGAAAGCAATTATAATCGCACTGTGCTGCCAGAGGTGTAACTTTAACCTTGCAGTGTCATTAGCCACCCTGGGATAACAGTTTTGGGCCGGTTCATTTTAATTATGTGCATAAAAGGCATCTGTACACATAGCATGCTACTGACGGATGAACTATGGCGGCACGGTTTCCCTATGTTGCCCAAGTGCTCCCTTCAACCCATCCTCTGAGACAACCCTCAGCTAAATCTGATCATTATATCTTTATTTGTATTTTCTTTTACAGAAGGGGACCGTGACGGGAAAGCTTAATTCAAACACAGTGTTTTATAAAAAAGAAAACTTTTTATTTTCCTAATTTCCACGTGGTGCTTACTCTGAAATCTGACCTTGTGTAAGATGTTACATTTATGTATACAATCATTATAACAATGCCCTATTCACCTGCTGGTTTTAAAAATCAATATTTTTGAAAACTATATGCTGTCAATTCATTGATAGGTAAGGGGAGTGATCTGCTTTTTAAATTTGTTGAAAATTCTATACAGTATGTGTGTATTATTTCAGGCATAAGCATCTGAGAGCTTTGTACATACATAATCTGTTATTACATTTGTGTTATATTTGGAGGGACAGATGGAAACACATACGTACATAGAAATTCAGTAAAAATGAATTCAGTGTGCATATGGATAATTAGAATTATTTAAGTGCTCTGTGCATGCCTTCTATAAAATTAATTATAGTGCTTTAAATCAAAACTGTTAACTTTAATATAAATGCAATCAGGTGCTGAAAAATGGCATTTAGCAAAGAAAAACCAAAACACACAAATATTTGAAATTATAAATTATATTACAACGTGATAATCTATTCTAAAATTCCAGGTGTCAAACAAATCAATTGAATTGAACTCAAAAGTTTAAACCCCATAAAAACCATTAAACCCAATGCAAACACCTGTTGAGTAAAAACTAACTAAAAAAAATAAACATTTTAAATTATAGTGAAAAGCAATATTAGGTTATTGTCTTTAATAAGCTGAAAACTATACAGTCTGTTGCTATTATTCATACTATGCATTTTGAATGCTTATCAAAGAAACAAACATACATTAATAATGTGCACTCAATATAGAAGTGTACACAAGATATAGAGGATAATTTATACTGCACATAAAAAAAATCTTTGTAGCTTATGAAAGGCACAATGAAACTTGTATCTTAATGAAAACGTGGATTTTCTCATATACGTTCTTGCCATTCTTAGGCTTTGATATATTTTTTAATATTATAACATATTGATTAAAATTATTTTATACTACAATATTAATTCATTTGAAAAGCATGTCAAGCATTATTAAATCAAAGCCTTGGTCTGTCAGAGCCAAAAATGAAAAACGTTATTAAGAACCCAACTTTTTGAATTACTAAATAAACTTAAACTCTTCTACAATTTTTGCACTGTTAACAATACTATCCCAACACAGTATATATATATATAAAAATATATATTTAGCTACTCTTTATTTTTATTATTTTATTTTTGGCAGTTATATAGTGCCAACTTATTCCGCAGCGCTCCTGTGACGGTAATTAATTTATGCTAATACTCTACTACAAGAGAGGTATATTGGACCTGTTTGGTCCTGATGAAAGCTCCATGTGGGAGCTGAAACATTGACTTTTTAAATGGATTGAATAAAAGTTAAATTTTATTTGAAAATCTCTATAAAGTCCTTGGAGTGTGGTCATTTCTGCTATGTCTCTATATATATATATATATATATGTGTATATATATATATATATATATATATATATATATATATACA